TAATCATTAAATGAATAGTAGTACTAGTAATAATAGCAACAGTAATACCAGAATGGAAAAAAATAACATTTAATCAAAACAACCCAATGCATTGGGTTAATTATATAAAACAATACATTGGGTTAAAATAACCTATAGTTGGGAAGGTGCTATAATAACCTATAGTTGGGTTATATGTTGGGGTATTTGCTATACAACGTGCAAGATTACAGAAAATAAACAGTGAAAACAAACAGCGTTTACTTAAGGAGTGAAAGGTAATAATCAGCATTTCATCTGTGAACTGAACGCTGTAAACTGGACTGACACAGTTTCAATTTATTAAAACTTCTATGTGAAGCTGCTTTGACACAATCTACCTTTTAAAAGTGCTATAGAAATAAAGATGGATTGAATTCATATGGCTTTATTGGGATGGTTCAGCATCATACAAGCACACACTTCAAAGCCGATCTGTACTCTGTTAAAATAGTTGGGTTAAAAACACCTCAACATATAAACCCACTATAGGTTATTGTAGCACCTTCCCAACTATGGGTTATTTTTAACCCAGTGCATTGGGTTATATAATTTAAATTTGGGTCCTAAAGTCGAGAATGACAGCCAAATATCCCAAATATGTGCAACATTTTCTCCCCAAAATAACTGTAGAGATAAACATGGGAGGTAGAGAAAGTGTTTTATCGGCCATGAAGCATACGTTTGTATCATCAATAATTAAGAGCGCTGGTGAAAGGAGTAGAAAAAAAACCGCAACACGAGAGGTCATTTCATAATATTAAATAACACCAATATTATTACGTTAGAGCTTAAATAAACTTTACAACGCAAAAGCAACATTACGTACGCATATTAATACAGCTGATCTGTGTTAGTTAAATCAGTTGACTGTTGAAATTCTAAATTTTAACCCAACTGGTTGAGTTATTAAATAAATAACCAAATAAAGGTTAAAAGTAACCCAACAAAGCATCAAATATTTAATCCAACTGGTTGAGTTATTATTAAATAACCTAATATAGGTTAAAAATTACCCAACAACGCACCAAATATGTTTAACTCAACCATTGGGTTGAAGAAATAACTCAACGCTTTTTAGAGTGTATAAACAGATAAGAACACTCAAGTGTCTGAAACTTAAAATGTAATAAAAAATAAAGCATTTTCAATATTTTTTTAACTGTATGTTATTTATTTCATTCATTCATTTTCTTGTCGGCTTAATCCCTTTATTAATCTAAGGTCGCCACAGCGCAATGAACCGCCAACTTATCCAGCAAGTTTTTACGTAGCGGATGCCCTTCCAGCCGCAACCCATCTCCGGGAAATGTTATTTATTTACCCAGCCATAATCATTAAATGAATAGTAGTACTAGTAATAATAGCAACAGTAATACCAGAATGGAAAAAAATAACATTTAATCAAAACAACCCAATGCATTGGGTTAATTATATAAAACAATACATTGGGTTAAAATAACCTATAGTTGGGAAGGTGCTATAATAACCTATAGTTGGGTTATATGTTGGGGTATTTGCTATACAACGTGCAAGATTACAGAAAATAAACAGTGAAAACAAACAGCGTTTACTTAAGGAGTGAAAGGTAATAATCAGCATTTCATCTGTGAACTGAACGCTGTAAACTGGACTGACACAGTTTCAATTTATTAAAACTTCTATGTGAAGCTGCTTTGACACAATCTACCTTTTAAAAGTGCTATAGAAATAAAGATGGATTGAATTCATATGGCTTTATTTGGATGGTTCAGCATCATACAAGCACACACTTCAAAGCCGATCTGTACTCTGTTAAAATAGTTGGGTTAAAAACACCTCAACATATAAACCCACTATAGGTTATTGTAGCACCTTCCCAACTATGGGTTATTTTTAACCCAGTGCATTGGGTTATATAATTTAAATTTGGGTCCTAAAGTCGAGAATGACAGCCAAATATCCCAAATATGTGCAACATTTTCTCCCCAAAATAACTGTAGAGATAAACATGGGAGGTAGAGAAAGTGTTTTATCGGCCATGAAGCATACGTTTGTATCATCAATAATTAAGAGTGCTGGTGAAAGGAATAGAAAAAAACGCAACACGAGAGGTCATTTCATAATAATAAATAACACCAATATTATTACGTTAGAGCTTAAATAAACTTTACAACGCAAAAGCAACATTACGTACGTATATTAATACAGCTGATCTGTGTCAGTTAAATCAGTTGACTGTTGAAATTCTAAATTTTAACCCAACTGGTTGAGTTATTAAATAAATAACCAAATAAAGGTTAAAAATAACCCAACAAAGCATCAAATATTTAATCCAACTGGTTGAGTTATTATTAAATAACCTAATATAGGTTAAAAATTACCCAACAACGCACCAAATATGTTTAACTCAACCATTGGGTTGAAGAAATAACTCAACGCTTTTTAGAGTGTATAAACAGATAAGAACACTCAAGTGTCTGAAACTTAAAATGTAATAAAAAATAAAGCATTTTCAATATTTTTTTTAACTGTATGTTATTTATTTCATTCATTCATTTTCTTGTCGGCTTAATCCCTTTATTAATCTAAGGTCGCCACAGCGCAATGAACCGGCAACTTATCCAGCAAGTTTTTAACGTAGCGGATGCCCTTCCAGCCGCAACCCATCTCCGGGAAATGTTATTTATTTACTCAGCCATAATTATTAAATGAATAGTAGTACTAGTAATAATAGCAACAGTAATACCAGAATGGAAAAAAATAACATTTAATCAAAACAACCCAATGCATTGGGTTAATTATATAAAACAATACATTGGGTTAAAATAACCTATAGTTGGGAAGGTGCTATAATAACCTATAGTTGGGTTATATGTTGGGGTATTTGCTATACAACGTGCAAGATTACAGAAAATAAACAGTGAAAACAAACAGCGTTTACTTAAGGAGTGAAAGGTAATAATCAGCATTTCATCTGTGAACTGAACGCTGTAAACTGGACTGACACAGTTTCAATTTATTAAAACTTCTATGTGAAGCTGCTTTGACACAATCTACCTTGTAAAAGTGCTATAGAAATAAAGATGAATTGAATTTATATTGCTTTATTTGGATAGTTCAGCATCACACGCCATAACCAGCTGTTGAAAATAAATGACATGATAGTAAAAAAACGCTGATATTGTTGAAGTTATTGGAATGAACTCGCTGCCCTTTCCATCTTTCCATGCAGTGTGTGCTCTTTTACTACACATAACTGTGTGTGTGTGTGTGCAGACGCGCAGAGAGAGAGAAATACAGCAGCAGCTGCTGGATCAGGATGAAGAGACATTAGAGCTCAGAGAAACGTTTTCCTCACTGCAGCAGGAAGTGGAAGCCAAGACCAAGAAACTCAAAAAGGTGAGATATAAACACACAAACACACAGAGCTACTGAAGAAACTCACTACTGATCAATGACATTCAGAGGTTGCTAATATAGAAAACATCCCTCTTTTAGGAAAAATGGATATGTTTTCTATATATACTACCTGACAGAAGTCTTGTCACCTATCCAAGTTTTAGGAACAACAAATAATAACTTGACTTTTAGTTGATCATTTGGTATCAGGAGTGGCTAATATGAAAATCAAAGGCCTCTAGATTATGCTTAATTTACCAAAATAAAATATGATCATGCCTTGATTTTTAATTATTTCATTAGAACAGTAGGTCTGACTCTGCTTTGACAAAAGTCTTGTCACTGAACAGAAATAATGTACAGTATAGAATATAAAGTCATGCTGCAGTGGAGACAGAATGAATATTGTGTCTGACTCCATCATGAGCTTGGAGGACTGCATCCATACATCTCTGCAATGACTCAAATCACTGATTAATAAAGTCATCTGGAATGGCAAAGAAAGCGTTCTTGCAGGACTACCAGAATTTATCAAAATTCTTTGGATTCATCTTCAATGCCTCCTCCATCTTTCTGCAGGCATGCTCAATAATGTTCATATCTGGTGACTGGGCTGGCCAATCCTTGTGCACCATAACCTTCTTTGCTTTCAGGAGCTTTAATGTGGAGGCTGAAGTATGAGGAGCGCTATCCTGCTGAAGAATTTGCCCAGTTCTCCAGTTGTTTGTAATGTAATGGGCAGCACAAATGTCTTGATACCTCAGGCTGTTGATGTTGCCATCCACTCTGCAGATCTCTCACACATCCCCTTACTAAATGTAACCTGAAACCATGATTTGTGTTTCACTAAACTTGACTGATTTCTGTGAGAATCTTGGGTCCATGCGGGTTCCAGTAGGTCTTCTGCAGTAGTTGTGATGATTGGGATGCAGTTAAACAGATGATTCATCAGAAAAATCGACCTTCTGCCACTTTTCCAAATAATCAACTAATAGTCAAGGTATTATTTGTTCCTCTTAAGTGAGATCAATGACAAGACTTTTGTCAGGTAGTGTAAACACACTTTTTTGTAATCAATCATTTGCATTGCATTTATCAGGATTCAAATAAAAGAGAAAAATAATGATGAGATGAAGTATTTCATTATTATATAATACTACATATAATAACATATGTAGAGAAAAAGAAATCCAAAGAACAGGAAGTACAGACAGCTACAACATTATGTTTCAAACTATCAATAGAAGTTTAAAGACTGTCAATAAAAGACACTTTAATAAAACTTCATATACAGTCAAGCCTGAAATTATTCATACTTCTGGCGAATTCTGACTTAGTTACTCTTATTCAACCAGTACATTTTTTGTTTTGTTTTTTGACCAAAAGTTACAACGGCTTCTCCAAATAGATAATATGATGATGTGCAGGAGGCAATATTGTGTTCAAAATATTTCTCAGCTTTTATTTACCTTTGAACAAAAAAGTGACATGCCCAAAATGACTTACATCCTTCTCAGTAATCAATAGAAAAGCCTTTATTGGCTATTATAGCAATCAATCTCTTGCTATAATTGATGACCAGCTCTTTGCATCTCTCTACTGGTATTACCTATTCATTATTAAGCTCCAACTTCTTTAGGTTGGAGGGTCTCCTTAGCATCACCCTTATCTTTTGCTCCCTCTAAAGATTCTCCATCGGATTTGAGTCAGGACTCTAGCCAGGCCACTGCAAAATGTAATTTTTTAAAATGTTTTTTCTTTAGCAAAACTTTGTGTTTTAAAAGTTACCCATGCATTAACTAAAAAAACACTGTTTGTTTACATAAATAAATTACACTAAAAAAATATTTCTTTGAAATATTACATTTTATTTACTTAGTTATTTTTTATTACCTTGACTGTTGAGAAAGACGCCTTTAAGTACAATTATTATTGCATTATTATTATTATCATTATTAAATGAAGATTCATAAAAATGGAACTGTCAATATACACTGACCAGCCACTTTATTAGGTACACCTGTCCAACTGCTTGTTAACTCAAATTTCTAATCAGCCAATCACATGGCAGCAACTCAGTGCATTTAGGCTTGTAGACATAGTCAAGATGATCTGCTGCAGTTCAAACCGAGCATCAGAATGGGGAAGAAAGGTGATTTAAGTGACTTTGTACGTGGCATGGTTGTTCCTGCCAAACGGGCTGGTCTGAGTATTTCAGAAACTGCTGATCTACTGGGATTTTCATGCACAACCATCTCTAGGGTTTACAGACAATGGTCTGAAAAAGAGAAAATATCCAGTGGCAGTTCTGTGGGCACAAATGCCTTGTTGATGCGAGAGGTCAGAGGAGAATGGCCAGACTGGTACCAGCTTATAGAAAGGCAACAGTAACTCAAATCACCACTCATTACAACCGAGATATGCAGAAGAGCATCTCTGAACACACAACACATCCAACCTTGAGGCAGATATGCTACAGCAGCAGAAGACCACACCAGGTGCCACTCCTGTCAGCTAGGAACAGGAAACTGAGGCTACAATTCACACAGGCCCACCAAAACTGGAAAATAGAAATCAGAAAAACATTCCCTGGTCTGATGAGTCTCAATTTCTGTTGCGACATTCGGATGGTAGAGTCAGAAGTTGGCATCAACAACATGTTAGCATGGATCTATCCGGCCTTGTATCAACAGTTCAGGCTGGTGGTGGTGGTGTAATGGTGTGGGAGATATTTTCTTGGCACACTTTGGGCCCATTAGTACCAATTGAGCATCGTGTCAATGCCACAGCCTACCCGAGTGTTGTTGCTGACCATGTCCATCTCTTTATGGCCACAGTGTATCCATCTTCTGATGGCTATTTTCAAGAGGATAACACACCATGTCATAAAGCGCCAATCATCTCAGACTGGTTTCTTGAACATGAAAATGAGTTCACTGTACTCAAATGGCCTCCACAGTCACCAGATCTCAATTCAATAGAGATCATTTGGGATCTGCTGGAATAGGAGATTTATCATGGCTGTGCAGCTGACAAATCTGCGGCTGTGATGCTATCATGCCAATATGAACCAAAATCTCTGAGGAATATTTCCAGTACCTTGCTGAATCTATGCCGTGAAGGGCTAAGGCAGTTCTGAAGAAAAAAAGTGTTTCACCTGGTACTAGTAAGGTGTACCTAATAAAGTGGCCAGTGAGTGTAAGTTCTGCATGTGTGGTAGATAAAACAATACTCTATTTGTTTGATACACAAACCCGAAAGGGCTGTATCAAAGAAAAATCATACATCATTGCTGCCTTAATATTTTGAATTAGGACTTAGCAGCCACTGACAAAATAAATTCTACAAATAAAACAGCACTGAGTTCCCTAACTCTGTTCCTCTCGCTCCCCTTAATTCTGGACCTCTGACCTTTGACCCCTGGATCACCCCTGACCCCACCTCCCCCTGTGACTTTAAAACACCTTTATCAGTACAAGAAGGTCAGTTTGTTTTACACTTGCCTGTTCGTTGACTGTCAGAGGCTACAAGGCTAATGCTAAATGCTAATATTACCAAAAAGCACCAATGCTTTCACAACAACCTGCATTAATCTTCATGGCTACTGCTGGCATGCTAACCAACAAATTCCTCTTCCTTCTGAGATTTATTCTCAACAGGTGGTAGGACTGAACTCCTGCACGTCACTTCCTGTCAGAACACATCACGTCCACTTATGTCACTTCCCTTTCAGAGTTTTAGAATGACTGTTGTAATGTTCAGATGTGGCACCTGACCTCGGCTCTACATGTTCCCTCCTGACCTTTCACCTTTAACCCCTGCGGATGATGCAAACTGACCTACACTAACACTGATGAGCACTGAGACACACGCATGACTGAATGAATGATGATGATGACAGATGGTGGTGGAGGTTGTATGAAAGAATGATGATGATGATGATGATAATGTTGACTTTGATGATCGTGATGATGATGTATAGATGGATAAGGATGTGGAAGATGGTGTTTATGATGATGGGAATGATGCTGATGATAGTGATAATGATGATGGTAATGATGAGATAGTAGTGATGATGATGATGGTAACGATGTGATGGTAGCGATGATGATGATGATGGTAATGATGTGATGTTGTGATGATGAGGGTAATGATGCTGATGATGGCAATGATGATCATGATGATGATGTTAATGATGTTTTGTTGTGATGATGAGGGTAATGATGCTGATGATGGCAATGATGATTATGATGATGATGGTAATGATGTGATGTTGTGATGATGAGGGTAATGATGCTGATGATGGCGATGATGATCATGATGATGATGGGAATGATGCCACAGATAGAGATAATTATGATGATGATGCAATGATTTTGATGATAGTAATGATGATAATGGTAATGATGGTGATAATAGTGATGATGATTATGATGATAGTAATGACGGAGATGATAATGATGATGATGATGTAGATGATAGTGATGATGATGTAGATGATGGTAATGTTGGAGATGATTGTGATGATGATGGTAATGATGGAGATGATAGTGATGATGAGGATGATGGCAATGATGGTGAATGATAGTGATGATGATTATGATGATGGTAATGATG